AGCATATGAAAGCTGTGCCTGTATCTGTGTGTGTGAACACAGTCTGGAGGTTCTCCATGTATCTGTGAGTGCGCCACATCCACTTCTCATGGCTGGATGAGTGAAAGCGGGACAGAAACAGAGCTCGCCGTTGCTGTATGTTGTTTGGGGATTTCGTTCCTAAACCTCAGATTATTGTTCCCTCAAGCTGCTTAGCGCTCCTTTATCACCAGGTTTGCGGGGGAAAGATATAAGCAACATTAACAATTCATAAGAAGCGCCATTGTCGCACATGATGTTGGTCTCCGGTCCTTATTATGCAATGTTATGCGGATCCTACTTGCGCATGCTAAACTCCTGCCGTTATCAGCGCCGAACATGCGGCCATGAGCGCGCCCAGAGGCCGGGCAGGGAGCGCTCTCAGGCGGGGGACGCTGCCTCTGTTGGCGCGGTGAGGAGGGGAGGAGGTCCGGGGATAGGAGGCGGACGGCTGGGTGCGAGAGGAGATGTACGGACGGGATATGGATGATTTAGCTGCGGTACAATTAAATGTAATTGGCGGAGGTGCCCATTACACAGACTCATTGGTAATTAACACCGGCACATCTGTGCATCTGCTGGTCCACCGCTGTGACCTATTAACCTAATGTACTGTTTAGATGTTTGGAGCTGCAGTAAACAAAGGCACGGGGAGGCAGAGGACAACGGCTCCACTTGTTTCAGGGCTTTGTGGAATTTGTGTGGATTTGCAGGCAATCTGGTTTTGTCCTTACCATCTGATAACCACTTTGACAGTGATTTATCAGTTTGTCATGGCAGATGTGAGGTCTGCTGCTGTCAGACACTGTGTGTGACATTTTGTCTGAAGCAGCACTGAATACTGCGTTGTTGTTCTTGGCAAGAGTAAGAAAAATATCATAGATATCACATAAAGTAACCCTTAAAAATTACTGCAGAGTTTAATCAACTCTGATGCCCTTTAGAAAATATATTTTTAAATTATTCATTGGACTCTATTTATGTCAGATGTGGTGGTTGCAATTTTAGCCCATTGAGACAAATTTGTGCTTTACAAAACTTATATAATCCTGTGGTATTTGATTTAATGATTTAATCTGTAAAAAAATAAAAAATTAAAATCAGCTCGTCATCACTAGCAGAGATATAGTCCTGAATTTGCTCTCTGTGTTCAACCAACAGGTCAAAATAAAAAGCTAGTCCACAATAAAAACAGGAAATCCTCATGTTAGAGAAAACAGCAACACAATCTTTGTCATTTTCACCCAAAATGAATTAAATTATTGTTTCAATTTCAGTTTTATTTATGTAGCACCGATTCACAGCATAAATCATGTCGAGGCACTTTACAGAATAGAGTGACATTATTGTATTATAGAGAAAACCCCAAATCCAGAGATCCCCTCTGAGCAAGCGTGTTTGTGACAGTGAGAAGGAAAAAGTCTTCTTGATCAACTATCAAAATCATTTTCTACTCATCAGCTGATTCATTAATCACTTCAGCAAGTCACAACAAAACTGCAGAAACAATGAGTGACACTGATCAGAATTAAAACCTCATTCTTTGGCAAAACTGGTTTGATGTGCCAATATCCCACCAGTGTTTTTGTGTGTTTTCATGCCTATATTTATGTGTGTACGTGTGCATAGGTTTGGTTCCAAAACCGACGAGCTAAATGGAGAAAAAAGGAGAACACAAAGAAGGGGCCGGGGCGGCCTGCACACAACTCCCACCCGACCACGTGCAGCGGTGAGCCCATGGACCCCGAGGAGATCGCACGGAGGGAGCGCGAGCGGGCCGAGAAGAAGAAACGGAAACAGGAGAGGAAGCTGCTGAAGTCGCAGAATAAACTTCTAGCAGGTGACAGCTTCCACACACCTGGAGGTTCGGAGAGTGACAGCGGGGTCTCCCAGTTCACCGACAGCGAGCAGCAGTCTTCAGGCGTTAATGGGACTATTCACATTGAACTGCCAGCAACAAAGGGTGCAGGAGGACACCAAACTGAATCCAGCTGTGACCAAACACGACACGACTTCGGTCAACTACAAAACCACCAAAACCAAAGAACCGCGGGAGAACCGGAGCAGGTCTCTCCAGGCAGCACGCACAGCTCCAGTCCTGGAGGCCCGAGGTCCTCCACCCTGCAGAAACGGAACCCTTTCAGCGTGGAGAGCCTCCTCTCTGACACTATGCCTCGACGGAAATCTCAGCTGGACTTCAACTCACTGCCCAATCAGAGGACACTGGTGGGTAAAGGTCACTTCTTGCTTTACCCCATTACCCATCAGCCTTTGGGCTTTCTGGTGCCCCAAACAGCCCTGAAGGCCACACCGTGTCAGGACAACATGAACAGGCTCGGCCTGGGACAGCGGTGTGTGCCAGGTGAGGGCAGCCCTGCTCCCTCTGACCTCTCCAGCTTTGGCAGTGTCACTAAGTCTCTAAACTCAGATTCTCTGGAGCACAACTCGCAGCATCACCACAATCACATCAGCAGCAGAGCGGACGGAGCCGACATGGAGGACTGTGGTGGTGACTGCAGCAATGGAAGATTCCCTGTTTCTCCTCCAGCGAACAGCGTGGCTCAGACGGCTCTGTCCAGACTGAGCTCCACACAGTCCAGTGACAGCAGCGAGGAGAGGAGTCTGAAAGTTCAAACGGAGGCAGCGACCAATGGCTGCCAATCTGCTGAGCCGTGTGCAAAAGAAAAGGGTGCAAGAGAGGAGCGAGCGTCTCCAGACCTCTCCGAGTGTCTCAAGGCAAACACAGACTGTCAAGAAACACCCGGAACAGATGGAGAGGATGTCGATATGGACTAACACTTTGAAGGAGCAAACATAAACAAAGGACCAGGAACACCGCTCAGACTATTCAAACATTCCCAAAGCTCTGCTGAGACACTCTAAAACATATCAGGAATCAGGAGACTTAATTCTCATCTATTTTTTAATCATAAGGTGTGATCAATCCAGATGGCCCCTCAAAGCTGTGGCTGTCCTCATATTCAGGCTTTAGGCCTGAACACCTTTAGAAGCAGGTTCTTTCTTTCTCTCTCTCTTTTTTTTTTTTTNATCTATCTATCTATCTATCTATCTATCTATCTCATTTAAAGGGTGCAACATGAAGCCCAGGGTGAGTGAGGGTGGGAGCCAGAGAGGGAGACAGAGGCAGAGAGATGTGCTTTGGTGGCACCAACACAAACGACCAATCGATCAAGCCCGGCCCGGCCCGGCTCGGCCCTCCCGCTGTGTCCGTGCCGCTCATGCATCACACTTTATGAATTCAATTTCAACCGGGAGAAATTTTCAATTTGAACGCGCGATCATTACGGCGTGGGGGGATAGCGTAAATTGTTTTTGCTCTATTATGCATTCGGACGCCATCATTTTTCTTTCTAATTACCGAGGTGTCAGTGCGGCCTGTCACCCGGGCGCTGATTTTCAATTTAACTGATCATCATACATTCATTTTCCCATTTGATAAATCTGCTATCTAGACGCGCCCGCCATGCCCGGAATATTAAGCGGCGCTGGGGCGCAGTAATAGGGGGATGTGTATGCGGCAATGAGCGCGGATCAGCCAGCTAATTTAGCACCTTCCACATTCCCCGTCTCCATCCCCCCATTTCCAATTCTCAAGAGGAGGCAAGAAAAAAAAAAAAAAAAAAAAACGAGAAAAATGATATTTATATGTAAACATTTTGATAAATAAAGTTATTGTTTAAATTGAATCACTGTGTTTGCAGGGCCACGTTGACGTGGGGAGGAGAGAGGGGGGAGAAATAAGGGGCTGGTTGCTGTGTGGCAGCAACCTTGGATCATGGCGGCTGGAGTTTTGTCGTGTTACAGCAGATAAATCCCCCTTTTTCCCTCTGTGTAGTGAGCCGGAGCTGGGGCTCAAGTCCGTCTGGCTGTTTGTATTTATTGCTTTAACAAATTTATTCATTTGAAAGGCCGAGCTGGAATGAGGTTAGTGGCCGCGGGCTATAGGACCCTGCGCCTCCTGCTGAGTTTTGATATGAAAGTAATTATTTTCCCACTGGCTGCCGCGGGTCTCGAGGCAGTTTTTTTTTTTCCTCCCTCCTTTCAGCCCAAAGGGTTATTAGACATTACCGATTTCTAGTGATATGGAATCACATAAACTTCCTACAATAATAGAATTAGCATGAAAGGCAGGGGTGTCAAATTGAAATGGGAAAATAATAGCCGCGCCAGCTGCACGCTGAATGTGTGCGTGCGTGCCGCCGTGCGCCCCCGTGTGCGTGAGTGCGCATAGTGTATTGAGCGCAGGGGAGGAGGAGGATGAGATGGTGGGAGATTCGTGGGGCGGAATTTTCATGAGCTGCCGCGGTTGTCAGACGGCCCTTGTAGTCGGCTATATTAAGATAGATGTTCGATGATATCCCTCATTGTTCTGTCGCTTATATTGATGTTGCTGCGTTATCGCCCTATTGATCATGTGTCGCACATAATAGGACAGGCGCGCACCCGCCTGCCTGCGCCTTTTTACAAAAGCGCCTGGGCCCCTCGTCATTTGTTCTAATAGGACTGCGAGTCCCTCAGGGGTGGAGGGGGGGGGGAGACAGATAAAGATATAGGGGAGGAAGAGGGGAGACAGAGGAGGCGAGTGATGTGCCAGGCTTGCATTAATAATTTTTTGGACCAATTGTTGTGTGAGTTTAACAGAAAGAAGAAGAAGAAGAAGAAGAAAAAAAGTCCAAGAAAGTGAAGAATGGGTGAATTAAAGATGTTTAGAGGACTCCTAAACGTGCAGGCGCGCGCGTGTGTGTATGTGTGTGTGTATGTGGAGCCGTTTAGAAAAGAGTGTGTTTAGCTTATGAAGTGTAAACGCCACCAATTCCCTGGAAACTGAAATCCCAATTATTAAAACCATTAATTCTGGCGAGCCAGTGCGCAGAGGAGCCGTGTTGACAGCCCGGCTAAATATCCCTGATCCCTCCCGGTCACCTCGCCTTTATTTGCAAATAAATTGAGGGGGATCCGAGGGACAGAGCTTTACTTTGCTGCGCCGACCTAAAATGAATTTCCGTGCCTGAGTCCCTTTAATAATATTTACATAATTTTCGCTCAGTGACTCTGCTATTTGCGCTGTAGGAAGCGGGAGGCTTACAGGAAAATAATTAGACAAGAGGACGAGGAGGGAGCCCGAGTGAGAAACAGCAGGAGGAGGATGGGTTAAGACCGGAGCTGAACACTAAATTCCCAGACAGCTAAAATCAATGAAAGTAATAACCCTATTATTTAATTCATAAGGACATTATTTTCCCATAAGGCCTCAGGAAACGTCCCCTTCGACCGAAACAATCACATTAAATCGTTCATTCCGCGTGCGCTCTGTGAAATTCCCACTTTTATTCTTCCCCTCTTTTTTTTCTTTTTTGGAGAGGGGGAAACGCTTTATTATAATCGGTTAGTTTCAAGAGTGCGATTAATTTGAAAATATAGGTCTGATCTCCCTTCAGCGAGGCCTTTATGGCAGAGACAAGCAGAAAAAGGAGTCCTTTGCTGCGAAACTCTAATCTTCTCCCAAATAATTAAAGGAATAAACCGGGAAAAAAAATAGCTTCAAATAAAAGAAGAAGACCGAAAATAGGCGTTATTAGAAGGCATCTGATCCATCACAAAGACCCAAATAAAGATCTGAATTATGAATGTAAAGCAGCACTCAAGCACTTTGGTAGAACTGTTTATTCAGACATTTAGTTTGACTCAGTTTGGAAATATTGAACTCAATTTGCATTTTAGAGGCAGACATGAAGCAGGATTAATTAACGCTAATTGAGTTCTTCAATATGTGTTATTTTTATTTAATAGAAACAAATTTGCACAATTAATTATCGGCATAATTTGAAGAACCTATTACAGCCCCCCCCCCCTCCCTCCCTCACCTTCAGCCCTCTCTGGCTCTCCATCACCTCCCAGCCTCCGCCACGGACTGAATTAGCGGCTTTTGTCGTCAGGTTTAGCCTCTTTGATCCGGACTGGATGGGCCTGCAGCCAACAGCAGACATCAGTGATCCTCTGTCAGACCCTCTTAACTCACACACCAGTGATGTGCTGGAGATTTGGGGGTTGAACCTTCTCACAGACGACTGGTTTGAAGTGGGATTTCTTACAAAGTTAACATTAGTTGGCTTTCTGTATGGAAGACCCGTGGTGCCAAAACTCACCCGCTTAATAGTTGGTTGCATGTTATCCGAAGATGACGCCAAAGATTCTGGATATCCTAAACTGTTTTGTTGCTCAAATATATTAGTGTCAATAATATTAATAAAGTGGTTTGACCCCCTGAAAAAAAAACCTCAAGAGCCCTTCACCAGCAGCTTTCAACACATCCTTTGTAATGTTGTGTTTATGTCTTATCATTTTTTAAAAGCAGGGATCACAGCGAAGGAAGAAAGTGGAAAGCTTTGGAAAAGAGAACCAAAGTTTAGCACCGTTTTTGATTATTTGATCATTTCTGAGGTCAACATCCTCATTACTTATGTAACCAAATAAAGCAAGAAGTTAACTTTTCCCTAAACCGTACATTTACTTTATTTTAAACCACTCATTTAAATTCATTAAATAAAGCACAATTACTAAACCTTATTCAAATCAATTACCTGCAGCAGACATTCAAGACAATCTTAATTGTGTCAAAGTTAATTAGAAGTATTAGAGAATTTTATCATTTAAATTCTTTATCAGCCTGTCAGCCCGAGTTCAGGGCTTCACTTATCAATGCGCACTGTTATGTTCTGTTAATATTTCCTTAATGTTCTGTGTGGGCTCCTGGAGGCTCATACTTAACATGTTGTTATCGCTTTTGACACGTCCTGACTTTTCATAATTTCAGGAGAACTGCTTTAACACGTGATTTTGAGCCGATAATGTGATTTAAGTCTGTGACAGATTATGTCACATTACTGGTTTTTGTTTTTTAAAAAAGAACTTTAATATGATTTGTATCTATGACTAGTGTTGACTATACTGTTCACCACCAAACTCCAAACACTAAATGAGTTTAGAATTCCTGAATTGAAGGAAGGTCGGACCTCAAGATAAGGATGTGCCTCCAAAACAATAAAAATAATATCCCTGTGTTCTTTAATTGTGCCTCTGCAAACAAAAAAAGATCTATATTTTAGAATCTATATACTATAAGACAGTAATAGTGCTTTGTGCTCATTTCAGGGAGTTTGACCTGAAGATGAGACTTTAATGAAAACAAAGCAAACAAATGATGTCACTCTGTCAGATAAAACACTTTTAAATGATGTTTCTGGTAAACATATGTGTTCATTAAAGCCCATAAAACACACAGAACCTGACACACACTGTCCTTATAATAACGCTTTGTGGTTATTTCAGCTGTAGAACAGTTTAACAGGGAGTCTGACCTCCAGCTGAGGATGTAATTGACTCAAAAAGATGAGTAATGTCACTATTTAAGATAACACCTTTAATCATGCTTGTGGCAAACTGTTGTTCATTAGAGCTCGTGTAACATATAAGAAGGTGACATATTGTCCTCATTGGGTGCCATCATAAAGCTCTGTGGTCATTTCTGCTGCTTTTTGGTGCCTGTTTGTGCCACAACAGATTTTTACTAATGAGCTTAAAGATAATTTATTTTTTGTAACACAGGAGCTGGTTGTCACTAGTGTCAGCAAACACAAGGGTTGATTTTCACTTACTGGCTGGTCCGTGGTGCTGCTGGACTCGGGGCTGAGACACAATAAGCCCACCTGCTTTAAGTGCCAATAAGTAGCCGCAGTCAGGACCGCTGTATGTTGCGCTGTAATGAACGTTTATGGGCGCAGAGCAGCTTTGGCTTTTTTTTTTTTTTTTGTCGTGTTCTTTGTTTCATTAGCCCAGTGGTTGTAATAAATGCCAACGAGCCAACGGGATAGATTTTAATTAAGTCAGTGAGAGATGAGTGGAGTGACACAGAAAGCGGGGCAGGGCGGAGGAGATGGA